AAAGCCCCAAGCATTGTCGAAAAAAAAATCAACCAAGCCGTACTGGTGGATTGATTGATTAGGACAAATGGGGCGCTCCACTATAGAGATAGTGACAATTCTATTAAGCCGCCACCGACGTCTCCCCAGTTGCCGGCCTACAAGCGCTAAGCTCCTGGTCGGCCACCTGAGAGAGGGTGTTTAGCAATGGGCCAGGCCAGGCACCCCCAGATACACCCTACTAGTTTTTATCTGCCGCGTCAGCGAAAGACGCTTGACCGACAGAGGGTCCCCGCCTCACTCCGCGGGAGGCGGGCCTTGGTCATTACGTGTTGTGTGCATTAGTTAGGTTTTTAGCAAGTCACAGCCGCGGGCATACAGGTCAGGTCATCGACGCCATGCGCAATAGGGTGGCCCATGCTCCCATACAAGCAGGCAAGGGGCAACACACAAATATAGCAAGATAAATATGGCAGCAGAGGATATTAAGCTGGACGTGTGGCCACCAGCGAGGCGTGGGTCATCTGGTCCGCCCGCCGGAGTGTCGCCTGCGACCGCTGGACGGACGAGTTGGTGGCTTGCTCCTACCGCAGAGAGGGGATGATGATGACCTGGTGGAAGCAGTCAATCACTTTCGTCGGGAGGGGATTGCGTCGGAGGGAGGCCAAGAGCACCGCCGCACTGAGTTGGGCCTTGGCCACCCGATGATACACTCCAGGCTGACGAGACATTTGGTCCGTGATGATGGCCCCCAGATACTCGATTTGGGGACCTGCTGTATCGCCACCCCCGCTAAGTGCACTGGCGGGCGGAGTGGGCCAGGATCGACGTGGTCAGGCTCCCGATACAGATACACGGACTTCTGCTGGTGCTGCTCCAAGGTGAGGTCAGGGAGCTACCGCTGGAAGCCGGCCATGAAGTCTTCAATGTCTTGAAGGGGGTCCGACGCGACCAGGATGTCGTCGGCATAGGCAGAGACAACAGGCACCCCTGCAGTTCGAAAGAGAAGCGGGGGAGCCCTGTGACCGCCCGCTCCATGGCCCAGTGCAGGACGATGACGACACGGAAGGGTGAGACGGGCAGGGGGCGGCAACGCGGCCCTTCTGAGTGACCCCATGCGGTAGCGAGGCCCGGCCCCCCACCACCGGCCTCGGCGCGCCGCGGCCGGAGCCGGGCGAGCCGCGCCTGACTGCAGCGCTTCAGTAAATTCAACCATATTCTATCAATACGTCTCAAAAACTATGACAACGAGTAGTGAATCGAAAGGGGAGGAGTTAAGGTACATCGCAGTGTGCCTGCGAACTAGTTTCGTTCGTCCGAAGTGAGTTTAAAGATAGTCTGAAGGCAGAGTAAGCTCGACGTGTCCCGGCCGGCCCGTGCACGCATCTCGTATTGTTAAAATTTCTCCGCGATTTCGCTACGGATCAAATTTCTGCGGTGCTCTGGTGAAAGTAGACTAAATTTGTGAGAGCACTGACTATAAGCGAGGCTGATCGGCAAACGAAGAAGGTTCGAAAACAGTGTTTGTTTTTTAGGTTATGTTTTTGTTGCTACGAACACAATTCAAACAAACACTGTTTTCGAACACTGTTTTCAATATTTCTGTTTCACAGAAAACGTGTAGTCTGTATTACACTCTGATTTACAGTGTATACACGCACTATTAGTAAGTCTTGACAGATTTAGTTTAGAAAGTCTTTAAGAAGTCCTTTTGTGAAGCTACACCTAGACTTATGTTTCTCTGTAAAATCTTGTTGGTTGACTTATGTTCCTTTGTGAAGCTACACCTGGACTTATGTTCCTTTGTCAAATCTTACTGGTCGACTTACGTTCCTCTGTCAGATTATGTCTGGACTTGAGTTCCTTTGTCAGCTCATGCATGGACTTACGTTCCTTTGTCAGAACTGTGATGGACTCATGTCCGTTTGTGACTTTGCATATTAGTACATGGCCAAGCCGATTTCGATCGGAAAAAATTTGCGGCCAGACGAGACTTAGTGGATCTTGTAGATCTCGCCGAGTAGAACAACATATCAAAATCCCGAGGTTTTCCATAGAGCCGTTTTTGAACAAATGCGGTTCAAAGTTCGAAATTTGAACAAAATTCAAAGTTGATTTTCTCGGAAACAAATTATTGGAGAAATTCGGGGTTTTAACCATTGAACGCGCGCTGGTGTCCTCTTTCAGAATATGTAGGGTTTGTTATGGTTTGGTGTCAAAACAGACAAACTGGCTTCGTTTTCGCCATTTTGAACATGTTCAAATATATTTGTTTTTAGTTTTACCAGTTATATATCAGGAAATCGACTTAAACCCTTTAATAATTGTTTTAGAGGACTTTATTATCTACAAATTCGTCTAAGACAGTTTTTCGATATCTGTATTTGGTAATGAGGTACGGGGGCTAAAAGAATGCAAACCGGCGCCAGGACGCGGTGCGCCAGTGGAGAACTCCCGTAAGGCGCTGATAGGCAACCCACACAACATTCAAAAAAGTAGCTGTATGATGTAACTGTTTCTATTCTGGCACAATATCTAATTGAGATATCAAAATACCCCCAAAAACAAACTTGTGCAGAATGAAGTCAGCTACAAAAATTGTTAAATCATATAAGGGCGTTTTCCCGATAGATTTTTTGAAAACTCACAACTTGTAAGATTTGAACATGTTCAAAATGGCGAAAACTAAGCCAGTTTGTCTGTTTTAACACCAAACCATAACAAACCCAACATATTCTGAAAGAGAACATCACCGCGCGTTCAATGGCGAAAACCCCGAATTTCCCCGATAATTTGTTTTTGATAGAATCAATTTTGAATTTTGTTCAAAATTTTGAACTTTGAACCGCATTTTATCAAAAACGGCTCGATGGAAAATTTCGGGATTTTGATATGTTGTTCTCTTCGCCATGGTTAACAAAGTCTACTCATTCGCATTTCATCGCAACATTTTTATTTCCAGACAACCACAGCAGAAATTTCAAAATTCCTATAAATTCTCCGTATTTATGACATTTCTGGTTGGGTTTTCTTCAAATAAAAATGTTGCAATGGAATGCGAATGAGTAGACTTTGTTAACCATGGCGAAGAGAACAACATATCAAAATCTCGAGATTTTCCATCGAGCCGTTTCTGATAAAATGCGGTTCAAAGTTAAAATTTTTGAACAAAATTCAAAATTGATTCTATCAAAAACAAAATGTCGGGGAAATTCGGGGTTTTCGCCATTGAACGCGCGGTGATGTTCTCTTTCAGAATATGTTGGGTTTGTTATGGTTTGGTGTCAAAACAGACAAATTGGCTTAGTTTTCGCCATTTTGAACATGTTCAAATCTTACAAGTTGTGAGTTTTCAAAAAATCTATCGGGAAAACGCCCTTATATGATTTAACAATTTTTGTAGCTGACTTCATTCTGCACAAGTTTGTTTTTGGGGGTATTTTGATATCTCAATTAGATATTGTGCCAGAATAGAAACAGTTACATCATACAGCTACTTTTTTGAATGTTGTGTGGGTTGCCTATCAGCGCCTTACGGGAGTTCTCCACTGGCGCACCGCGTCCTGGCGCCGGTTTGCATTCTTTTATCCCCCGTACCTCATTACCAAATACAGATATCGAAAAACTGTCTTAGACGAATTTGTAGAGAATAAAGTCCTCTAAAACAATTATTAAAGGGTTTAAGTCGATTTCCTGATATATAACTGGTAAAACCAAAAACAAATATATTTGAACATGTTCAAAATGGCGAAAACGAAGCCGGTTTGTCTGTTTTGACACCAAACCATAACAAACCCTACATATTCTGAAAGAGGACACCAGCGCGCGTTCAATGGTTAAAACCCCGAATTTCTCCAATAATTTGTTTCCGAGAAAATCAACTTTGAATTTTGTTCAAATTTCGAACTTTGAACCGCATTTGTTCAAAAACGGCTCGATGGAAAACCTCGGGATTTTGATATGTTGTTCTACTCGGCGAGATCTACAAGATCCACTAAACCTCGTCTGGCCGCAAATTTTTTCCGATCTTCGGCCCTTTTTGCCGGCTTGGCCATGTACTATATAGGTCAAACGGTTCAAGATATCAACATGCCATTTGGCTGGCATGATCGTTACATCGTTACTATGTACACATCATTTCGCACCCAAAAGTGAAAATCACCCTGAGGTGGACTGAAACCCCTTTGTCGTATCATTAGTGATTTCTGAATTTCGAGGCCGAAGGCCTTTTTAGGACTCTGCTTTTTGCCTGTCTCGGGTGTCAGCGCTGCAGGCCTAGGTAGATGTTTGCCAGGCTCGTCACAACGTAACAGTGTTTCGTGCGATATCGCGAAGCCTACGCGAGATGTGGTCTGGCGTACACTTACCTAGTGGTAGTATTGACGAAACACGTTTGTGACTGCTCGTTTCAATCCGATTCTTCGGTACACGCCCCGCCGCCCCGAACGCTAACGCTTCGGTAATATAGTATACTATTGTATTCTATAATATACTATACATATTATATGATACAGCTTCCGCCAATAACACAAACGAGTGTTACTCAACGTAACAAAACACACGTCAGATTAAAAGTAAAAGCAATGAATTTAATATACTTTATCTGCGATGATCATGCGACAGCACCGTGCAATATTTCTGTGTCACAGAAAACGTGCAGTCAGAAGCACACTCTGATTTACAGTGTTATTTCCAAATCGAAGGGCCCAAGTAAAAGTTACAAGTTGTAGCTGTAACTTTTAAAATAACGTAAAGGCAGTTAAGTAATAAGTTATGGACCCCTCGTCCGCTTGAAACCGTGGTGCAACCAAATAATCATTGCGAACACACTATTTAGAGTAAATGAGTTAACTGCCCACTGCCGAAATTTTTTGAACGGGAAATGTTGACTTCCTGTATCGTGACAGGTGAGAGGGCCTTGCTGTCCTTCGTGCTAATTCCAGCTTACAGCACACGTTCACTTAATGTAACCGTGCAACATATCAGGCCATTGATCTTACTTTTTGTTACTTTATTTGTGATGTGTGCGAGTCCGACGTGACACACAAGTGACCAGTCGCGGCTTCATAGCAGAACTGGGGTGGACAGCTTTCTCTATTAAGGTAAGAATGAGAGGTTACCTTTGTTAGGGCCGCAAACTGCCAGGTTTGCTACTACAAGTCTTGACTTTTGAGAAGACCAGCACATAAAAGCCGATTTGTTATAGAGTTTAAAAGATGTTAGGTGCGGACTTTGTTTCACTTTACAAAAAATCGTGACGAATTCTTCGTAATGCAACCAATATATTTCGGAACGATCAACGCTCATCGTTTGAAAAAAGGAAAACTCGACACTTATGAAACCTACACACACGGAGTTCGTGGCGGCTCCGTATATAAACACGCAGTTCCCGTGGGCTCGATACAAACATGGAGTTAAGCAGGCCACCGTAACTGTCTTTTTTAAAAATTTTGAGTTATATTTCTCATTTCTCCTGTCATCTGACATAAGTGCGCATGTCACAAAATCAAAATTTTACTCGAGGAAAGTATATTTTTGCTACATATCAATTATAATAAAAGTACTGGATATGCCACGTAAAAGTGCCTTACAATTGGGTGACACAACTACTTTCCCCCCAAAAATTAACTTCAATCCAATAGTCTAGAAGATAGAGTGACATGGGCACTTTTGTGATGCTTGGTTACCCCCATTTACACCCTTTTGGGTGATTGGCAGGGTTTGCCGTTTGCCGATGGCGTTTCGTTCTGAGTGACCCTTAAGATACCCTGAAATTGTCAAGTCTCCTTCTAGCGGAACAGACAGACACAGACACGAGGTCGTTTCCACAATCCCGCTTAAGGGTTTGCCGTAGGCGTTTCGTTCTTTAGGAGTGACCCTTAAGATACCCTGACATTGTCAAGTCTCCTTCTAGTGGAGCAGACGGACACAGACACGAGGTCGTTTGCATAATCCCGCTGGATAGCATTTTTAAAGCAGAAGGGTGGGCTAAAAAAATAAATTCCGATACACTTCGTCCTCATCAGCAAAAATTCTGAGTGGAATTTTCGGCCTAATGGTCATTCTCAACCAGTAAAACAATACTGATTGATTAGGCCCTTGGCAATGTACAGAAAAGATGAGACTTCAAGTGAAGCAATGCCCACAGTGATTTCTCATGCTCGCTGCTCGATTTTGCAGAAGACAGCAGGTTTCAACTTACTTTTAACTTACCCAAATCCGTGGGGGACTGACACAAGGAAAAGCATTCCCCCGCTTTTCCAGTTAACCAATGAATTTGCCGAGAGGGGGAGCTTTGACCAAATCAATGTTTGGAATGTTACGACTTAATCAAATGCCACCTTATAATGAGTGTCACTTGCGCACTCAGTAGGGCGTTTCTCTAGAAACAATCTAGTTCAAGGACTGTGAAAAAGTCCATATAGTTAGTCCTAAATGGATCTTCCAGACTCGTGAAAGCCATGTGATGTTCAGGAGGGAACGAGGGCATCAATGTTGGGTCTTGTAAATAATGAAGATAGAGTACAGGATCTGGTATTGGTTACACAAAGAGATAGAAAGACCCACAAATTATAAATGCATATTTACTAAATTAGATCAATAAATTGTAGATTCCAGAAATCGGTGTGTTTTTATTCATACACATTTTAAGGGGGTGAGGGCAGACCTGTGATAATCGTCTAATACACGGGTTCGGGAGATTATTTATTAAATAAACAAAAACTAGAAATGATAGAAAAAGACTTTAAAATTAAGGAAGAATTGGGCTGGAATTTGATATATAGTAGAGGACTGTAACCTGCGGGAACATGATCTTATTCGGCATGAACCAGACTGGTACACTACTTAGTGGCGTGCACGATTTCGCCGAACCGATGGACCTGCCACAGTGAAACGAGCTGTCATTTATTTTTAAAAGATGCCTTTATGGCGTGACGAGAGCGATTATCGATGAGCCACATCTCAGGTGTTTAAACTGGGGTATACGTACTAAATTTTCAACCCATTTGTTGGGGTCAAAATGTTGGCATTTGTTTAAAAAAATAATTTAGAAATTTCCAAATAGGCTTTTCGCTGAGGATCGCCCCCAAGGCTTGCGCACTGAAACAAGAAAAAAAAATGGTCACCTAATTTCATCACCATTCCTGTTTGCAGTGATTCCAAGATGTTATTCAGACTCGTGACCACAGCACTAGCCCTGTGCCCGAAAGGTATCTACGGCAAAGCTTTTAACTCGTTGGTGGTAAGTTACACTGTCACAAAAGTATTTGTCATACAATAATAATACTCCAAAATGTTAGAAATGTGGCAGTTCCTCATCAATGTAACACCACCCGTCTGATGCTTTGACCCGCGTTGTGTTCATGCTGCTGGCTCTGATTCTTGACTGTAAGCTGTATGGCGGCAGTCTTTTCAGAAAACATGGGCTCTACACACTAAACGGTGATAGACAATTTCTGTAAGTAGGCTAGGTGTATCTTTGCGCACATCGAAACCACATACAGATTTGTATCTACGGCGCATACAAAAAACACTTGTACCTAGGCTAGGTACAATTTTGTACGTCCGTACCTACAAATTTGTATCTGATGAAGATATGCTCAACGACCCGACACACCTACACTCTAAAAAAAATCAGTGCAAAATTTTGTAACATTGATGGGAAGTTTTTTCAGTAACAAGATTACAAAATTTTGTAACATACGAGGTTACAAATTTTCGTAACTACTGTGTACACGAAAAAAAAAGATTCGCTGAGTCAGCCAATATATTGACTGGTATCTGGACAGACAAGCACATAAACTTCTGTAACCACTATATTGTCTACTCTAATCAATCATTTGCTGTGCCAGTCAAAAAATAGCTGTAAGAGCTTATCCCTTCCCTAAATCAGTCGAAGTCTACCTTACTGATGCAGGCAAATCATTATTTCATACAACTAATCATTGACTGGCACAGCCAATGATTGATTAGGGTAGCCAATACAGTGGTTACAGAAGTTTATGTGCTTGTCTGTCCAGATACCAGTCAATATATTAGCTGACTCAGCAAATCTTTTTTTTTCCGTGTACAAGTATTTGCTTCCTGGTTACAAAATTTTGTAACATAAGATGTTACAAATTTTCGTAACGTCGCATTACAAATATTTCTTTTCTGATTACAAAATTTTGTAACATTTTGTGCTGTTGTGTGCAGTAGTTGCCGACACCCAAAAATTAGTAGTATTTCCTCATTGCCGTTCCGGAAGGGTCATATCAGTAACCTAATGCCTCTTCGTCAGAAGTGCACTGTGAATTACCCGTTCGAGCATTGCTAAAGTCAGTTTTAGCAAAACTACTTTGCTAAATCTTGCCTTTTCCTCGAAGCAATGAACGTTCCGAGGAGGACGGAACTAAACAGTGACACTGCAAGTCACTGATACAAAAATGATGTAGCGGTGTAGAAACCGCTACAGTCGTGTGAGGAAAACGTTGCCATACCCAACCGAGGAGAGTTGGCAGGTACCCTGCGCGCGTTGATATTAAACCAATTATATCTGACGCATGGTTGA